TTTAGACGGCTCCTCCTGTTCATCAGGGGATAAAGCAGCTTGATGGTTGCACAGGCTTTGTTCCTGGCCGTCTCGATGTGCTGCTTGAAACGCAAACCTTTATCCAAAGTAACCCCCAGGTACTTAGCTGAAGGCTTCCACTGGATATCTTCACCAAAGACTGTTAGCGCACCAGATGGAGTGGCGCGCCTTCGAGTGAAACAACACTGCTGCAACGCTCTTGGTCGGATTGACGTCAATACGCCAGAGCCGGAACCAATCCTCAATTTGATCAAGGGCAACCTCGTGACATGATCGGTCGAAGTGTGCCTCACCAGGATGGCAGTATCATCGGCGTAGTAGGCTGCGGAGGTGGAGGATCCGGCCTGAATCTTGGGCATGTCAGCCATAAAGATGGCAAAAAGAAATGGCGACAGGATAGACCCTTGGGGCACACCTGACCTAATGGGTCGAACCGAGGAACGTACGTCACCCAGCTTGACGCTGAACATTCGATGGTCAAGGTAGGATTTAATTAGCTGAATTAGACCAACAGGGAAACTGCTGGTAATCATTTTGTGTAATGTCGTTAGTCACAAATATTGTCAAGATGTCGATTAAAGCAACAAAAGTAGGGAACTTTGTATTAAATATCATCAATAGTAAGCAGTATAGTCAGCAGAGCGCTCTATAGATGTGTTAGACAAAAAAAGAACAGTGACTAAACAGAACATTGGAAAAAAAAATATGAAAGTTCAAGCAAAATAGAAATAATTAAATGACAAAGATTGAATATAACATTCATTACACATTTGTGTATTTAGATGTGTTATCTATATAACTTTAATATTTTTTCGGATGTTCTGTTTTGGCTTGTTCTTTTTTAGTGATCTTCTGGTTTGTTTGGTCACCGATATACTCGGTAGGCGAACCACATCTGTCCACATCTGTCACTTAATTGTCATAGATCTGCTTAAGTCTCATCAACGGTTATATTATTTTTAATAGTCTAGTGTTGATGCTTTTGGTGATTATTCATGATATAAGAACTGCAACTAGGTGTATCAGGTATTTCAATACATGTATAGTGTTTTCACAATTATACATTATATATTTGTTTCAGAACTATTATAGAAGACCCATCATTAAAAAGATAGTTTACATTATAATTTCTTATACTTTATGCCTCATCAACGGTTATATTATTTTTAATAGTCTAGTGTTGATGCTTTTGGTGATTATTACATTACGGTAGATCGAATATTTAATGTTGCAAACATTCATGATATAAGAACTGCAACTAGGTGTATCAGGTATTTCAATACATGTATAGTGTTTTCACAATTATACATTATATATTTGTTTCAGAACTATTATAGAAGACCCATCATTAAAAAGATAGTTTACATTTTAATTTTTTATACTTTATGCCAGAATAATTCAAGAAAATTATAAATGCATTTAAAATGGCTATTTGTTCCGTAGTAGATATTTCAAAAAACATTTTGATACATTCAGCAGATCCCATCGATTGTTAATGGGAAAAGGATACTCATATATCTTATGAAATATTACAATGAACTAGATCAACAGACTTGAATAATACATTCATGTGTGGCTTATGTGGATAGAAGTAAGTCACTTGGACTTTCAGAGGAAGAAAATTTATTTGAATTTAAAGTGTTTGTTTTAAATTTTTAGTAATTAAAAATTATAATTCTACCTAATTTTAGGTCTATTGGTGATATTTATGAATAATGGCATTTATACCGTTGATTAAAAATCTCATATGACAAATGAAATTACCAACATTGCTGATGCCAACATTGAGATAAATAAGGTAAAAACGTAAATATAAATTTATAAATAAAATGAATATTTTTATTAAAGTGCTATAAATATAGATTTTTGGAATGAGAAAAAACACTACACAGTCAAAACCAAGTCATCGTTCATTAACTATGGATTCATGAAAAGTATAAATCTAACAACATTTAGCCAACTATGATCTGGAGCCAACGTTTCTCCAGTTCAGCTCCTTCATTGGTTCTTTCGGATCACATCATCCGAGAGTCTTGGTCGACAATAATAACCCAAGACAAAATTCTTGTGGCAGATTCGATATGTATATCATTCCCGGAGGATTAGGAAGTACCAGAATCTACACGGATGGTTAGAAATGTAACTAGGATACATCTCCCGACGAATTGCTGAGGATTAGCAGAGAAGAAGCAATACTCAACGGACTGCCACCACCATGACAAAAAAGAAAACATGGTGCCCCACTGCTGTTTCGCTGTTCATTGCACGTCGCATGAAGGCGATAGTAGCAAGGTCTGCTATGGTCTCGTAGCCAGGTGGACGTTACTGTAATTGCAGAGGAATGATCTAGAGAAAATCGTTTAGCGACAAACTCTTAAAGCTTCCCAGTAGACTAGATCATACAATCGCAATCACCTGCATGGACAGCTGGAGCCAAAAAAAACCAAAGCGACCTCCAACAATTTCGCTGGAAGCAGGCGTTCTCTTTCATCCTTACCGGAACCTATCTTGCATTACGCCAATCTGCGCCCCACTAAGATCTGAAGGATGAAAGTCAAGATGAAAAGAATCATACAAAAAATAATCTGATCACTATACTATTTTTTTTATGTCGTGTAATTTTATTCACAATCTGTTCATCAATGTGAACATTGAGTAAATTTAAGATCGCTGTTGACATTAGGTAGGTAATCTTTCCTGGTGGATTGTTACCATTATGATGATTTTTTTAAAAATTTAATTTGTAGGTTGGCTTGTAGGATACCTTCAGTAGTATATTGATGCTCTGCGATTCCACTATTTCCTTTCACTGTGAATCATCTACTGCCCATAACACTCATTGTCCATCGATTTGGCTGAAGGTTCATATGCTGAACCTCATTAAGTTTACTAACCATCTGTGATGAACGATGGCCCTATTGCTGCAAGCACCGAGAGGGCTCACAAAGGGCCTGGCTTGACCAGGATTTGAACCTGGTCTCGTGGGTAGGGCGACGAAACCATTCGGCTATTATACAAATAACGAAATAACTCATCTGTACCAACACAGATTTGCTGAGTGAATCTCCACAAAACATGGAATACTGAACATAACTAAGCACGTTGTCAATAACTCTAACTCCCGTCAATACTCTCCGACAAAATCAGGAAGCGGAGATGTGTGCCAATTGCGTCGGAAGCAATCTAGACTAGTATCATCTCCTCCAACACTCAACTATCCTTTCAGAGTTGTCCTAATGACATTAACGCACCTGTAGAAGGCACAGATCTTTGTTAACGTTTATCCTGCACATAGCCAACTGGATGATCCCCTCTTCGATGAGAACATGAAGAAATACTCTCCGCGAGCTACTATCGTCAAGACCAGAAAGCGAAGATAAAGTGCGATAATTGCGGCTGAAACCATCAGCCTTCAGATATCGTATCTCCGACGCTATCTGACCTTCATCTCTGAGATCTACAAAGCTCCAGTTCCTTCAAGTGGAGAGTAGACAATATGCCCATCAAAGAGTGAATTTGTACTCATTTTCTCCGAGGCCCCTAAGGACCTCAAAATAAGAAATATCACCGCCTTTATTACCACCGCCGACGATAGATTTGGAGATAAACTCTCCAAACTCCAGGACGACTTGACCACCCAGTCGTCATCGTCATCAATCACCCCATAGGAACCAAATCGTTTTCATGCGTCCTGAAAAGAGTTCATTGTACTATCTCCATGGAAGAGTTGACGGAGACCTTGAAAGACGTGAGCCTGCGCACCTCCAAACTTTGGTGGATCATATTGAGTAAGGCTGGAGACAACACGGATCCTCTCAATCCACGAAGAAGACATCTCCATGCTTCTTCTATACGGACTCCGAGATTACGATGAATGCTCTTCTACAGCCAAGACACCAGCTGCATCAAGAACCAAGCCAGTGGTCTGTGCTCCGACCCGCCACTAAGATGCACCAATTGCGGTGGTGACTACCCGTCCTTCAGTTTCAGCTGTCTCAGTCGCCCGAAAGCAGCAATCGCTCCCGAATTGGTAGCCCTTCTGAAACTCACCAAACTCACCGGCGCTAACAAAGTGGAGTAGATCCATGTTTTGGGCTCTCTTCAATCGTCTTGACTTCCAGTCGCTTAGCATGCAGCTATCCTCTCAAAGATAATCCGATGCCGATCACTGATGGAAATGGCAACGATCTTTACCAAAGTTTTCAATCCGTCATCCCATCTCCGATGAGGACTTCAGGTCAGTCAATGAAGCATTGGAGTCTCGCCCCCACGGCTTCATCCAGCAGGAAGAACAGCGTACTTGGAGAATTGTTAGGAAGCTTCTAGTCTCAATCCTCGACAACGTTTTCTTAAGTGCATTAAAAAACAACATCCCGACGAGGATGTGCGATGTGGAACAGACCCGCTGCACTGGTCAGCAGAAGGCGTTCCTAGCGAAACCTCTTAAATCTGACCCAATGCCGCATCAAATAGAGGAGCTAACAGAGGATGTGTCCGGCTCATCAATATGGATTCACGACGTATACCTTCACTTAACGCGCAATCATCAACACCTGCCTTCAACTTGTGATATTTCCCTCGCGCTTGAAAACAGGCCAACATTTTCATGATACTGAAATCAAGAAAGGATTTCACCGGTCCTGGGTAAACTACTGGAAAAGTTGATCCATAAATTAATCTCAGCCCACTACGCAGAACACACAATTATTCCAGCCCATCAATATGAATTCACGAAGTAATCCTCACCGTCGCACCAGCTCCTCAAATTAAAAGGCTTCCGAAAGAAATATAATTAGAAATATACTACTCGCACCAAACAGTTATCTATCCGATTTAATCAAATACTCCCAAGGCATATTGGCATAAAGATTCACATCCACTACCCAAAGGTTCACTCGTCAATATTCGGTAAATCATATCATACATGCAATAATTGTTTGATCATTCTCACTTGTACAAATCAAATGCCAGAGTTTTTTCTTGTAAATTCATAAGCAATTGTAGAATGCCGAAGAGTAGATGCTTACAGTGAAACGCTAATGTAAAACTTATAAATGTAACTTAAAATCAAACAATAATTTTGCAATGATTGATTTTTATTGTTTTTAATTATTTATTACTGTTTTCATGTGTATTATGTTTTGTGTTTGTTTTTTATTTTTAAAAGTGTAATGTAACGCAATACCAATATTAAAATAAATAGTTCACCTCTTTAGTCATTTTGAGCCACTTGGCTATTCAGCTGCGAAAGGATAGAACCAATCACCTCTTCTTCGAGTGTGTCCACTACATTCAAAATCGAGATTTTTGTAGCCATGGCCAATTTTGCCATGTTTTACGATTATAACACAATACAGGGATTTTGCATCTTTATTTTTAATGTAAATTTATTTTAAGAACCACAGTATCAATTGCATAATTATTTTGATTAGAAATCTCATCGGCTCAGGACTATGCAATAAGTAACGAAAATAATAATCACAGGAACCGTGATGAAAACAAGCCAAGGCAGATATCAAAATGAGGTCTGTCTATACATAGACTCAATATTTATAATATCTATCTGCAATAAACCAAACCAATAAACTGATGAAATTAAAATATTTTAGTTATTTATTATAATAGAGATTACGAAACCTTTTCCACTAGTATTAATAAAATAGGTTTTAATAGCTTCATCGATTTTTCATTCACATGAAGGAATAATAACAGACATGGAATTAAATAATGGCTTACCTATCTGTATTCTTCGCCATGATAAGCTAAAGCACCCGTGATTATTAATATAGACAAACGAATGGGATGAAAATTTCCGAAGTTTTAATGTTGTGGAATTTTAAAGGGGAAAAAAATGGTGTAAATGAATACATAAATCAAGCAAGTAATTTTAAAACTGTAATATTTATTATGTTTTTTTTATTGTTATGAAGATTTTGGAAAGGCGACTTATTCGATGCTGCGATGTTCTTTACCACGGCTCTCTTCACTGAAGACCCGTTCCTGGGTCTGCTGCTTTTTGGTGGTGTTGCTCGCGGCGGTTGTTTAAATTTCCGTCTCACTCTTGGACATGCTTTTCGATGCCCTCAGAGATTCCACCGTTGGTGAGTTTAACAATTCCATTCTGTTGACGATGTCACATATCATACTATATTGACTTATAAATACGGTGAACTCCTGTTTTGATGGGTTTGATTTGCCAAAGCTGATCAACATCTGACCCAGACATTCACACATTACTCTCCTGTCGATCGGACTTATATTTGGCTGAGTACTTGTGGAAGACTTATCGGTTGGTCTTATATCGTCGCGTACTATCATGGATGCGAATGTCTCGTTTAAGTTTTCATCTGAAATTTGAGCATAACTCCTTTCATCTAGGGATGTGGCCTTGTTGACGGAAAATATAGGGTTGTCATTCCTCTCTAGGGGCCATTCGGGACAGCCGCGGTAGCTTGCAGGATGCGCACCTTCGCAGTTGGTGCATTTCGCGTTTGCATTTGAACGTTTGGTGCATTGGTGCGTCAGGTGCTCTTCCGCGCATTTAACACATTTCGGCAAGGCTTTGCATCCTGCTTGAAAGTGTCCCCATTTCTGACAGCGGTCGCATTGAATTGCAGTTTTCCTATTAATAAGTGGTTCAACTTTAATTTCGAGATGGAAAAGCGACTTTATATCATAGATCTTTCTAAATTCTTGCAGGACTTCTACTACAACCATGTCGATGGGTTTCTTATTAACGGTCATACGAGTCACTTTAATAGGTTTTATGTTGAGGTCTGAAAGTTCCTTTACGACTACGCTACATTCAATGCACGCAGGTACTCCTTTCAAAACTGCCATCAAAGTATTATCACCATTTAAAGTATGTGGGCGATAGAGGATCATGTGATCGTCTAATACTTTAATGATTCCCTCATAGTCATCAACTGAGTTCGGGTAAATTCGTATGCCTTCCTTTATGCATTCAGCCTCAAATTGCAGATCGTTTCGTTTCATAAGATTTGCTTTCATTATCCAGTCCTTCTTAGTTTCTAGTAAAATTGAAATTTTTTCATTAAATTGTTTTGATGGATTGGTAATTTGGTGACGGGTTTTGTATGGTTGGTTTTGTATGGCCTGTACTCTTGTGCCAGTGTTCTTGTGGATTATTTTATTCTTTTTGCGCTCCAAGAGCGAGAATCGCTCTGAATATTGCAAATTTATTTCAGGTGATGACGGGGTATCAA